TAGGAAAGCTATGCTATGTCATGCTGCGCTGTGCTATGCTATGCTATGCTATGCTATGCTATGCTGCGCTATGCTATACTATACGATGCTATTCTATGCTATGCTGAGCTATGCTATGCTATGACATGCTTGGTTATGTTATGCTATGCTATGCTAATGCAGCGCTGCGCTATGCTAAGCTAAGCGAAGCTAACCCTCTAGGCAGAGCCTAGGTAGGGGATTCCACCCATGCTAATGCCATGCCATGCTATGCTGAGCTATGCTATGCTATGCTGGGCTATGATCTGATATGCTGTGCTGCGCTATGCTGTGCTACGCTATGCTATGCGATGCTGTGCTTTGCTATGCTAAAGCTCAGCGAAGCTAAACTGAAGGTAAGCTAAGCTAAGATAAACCTGAGATGAAGCTAAGCTAACCTAATATTGAATAAGCTAAGCTAAGATGAGATAAGCAACGCTAAGCTAAGGGGACGTAACTGGGCGAATCGCGGGGCGGATGCCGGGGGAACCGCCCGGGGCGGGGTCCACTGCCCGGCCACTTTAAGCACAGAGAGTAAGAACCCTTCTAGGCAGAGCCTAGGTAGGGAACAGTTGAAAACCACGGATTTGGGCCTCTTCGAGTTCTCTCGGGACGCCTCTCGGAACTCTCTTGAGGCCTCTTGGAGGCCTCTTGGGCTGTGTATTTGCCGTTTCGAGCCCATCTTGGGCCACGTTGGGGCTATCTGGGCTGTGTTGAAGGGGCTCGGTGAAATCCCCCAGGGGCTTCTGGGAGCGTCTTGGGGCTCTCTGGGGCAGTCTGGGAGCTCCAGGGCCGCGCTGGGGTGCTGTGGGAGCGGTCTGGGAAACCCCAGTCCTCCCATGCCCTCACTATATATATATATATATTTATATATGTATATATATATATATGTATGTATGCCTGTCTGTCTGTCTGTCCGTCTGTCTGTCTGTCTGTCTGTCTGTCTGTCTGTCTGTATGTATGTGTGTATGTATATATATACATATACATACATATATATATATATTATATATATATATATATTTATACATATATACATATATATATATATAGATATTCACATGTATACACAGACATTTACGAGACATACTATACAAATATGTGTAGCGGCGGCGGCGTCGCCGCCGCCGCCGCCGTCGTCGTCGTTCCCGTCGTCGTCGTCGTCGAGCCTTCTTGGGGAGCCTCTAGCTGAAGGAGGAAAATCATTTTCCCGGAAGGACTTCTGGGAACATGATTTTGTGGGGTGTCTGGGGGGCCTCCTTGGTCTTCCCAGGTGGTCCCTTTGGGGCAGGGTGAGCCTTCCTAGGGGCTTATGGAGGGCCTCGTGAGGCTTCTTGGGAGCCTCTGGATGGGCTCTGGGAGCCGCCTGGGGCTCTCGGCCCATCCCGCCACCGTGCCAGGGTTGTGGCTCCGAGGCCTCTTGAATGTTCGTTTGGATCTCGTGGTGCGCCTCTCGGGGGCTTCTGGGCGGCAGGTTTGAGGTCTCTTAGGGGAGCCAGTTTGGGGCCTCTTGGGAAATTTTTGGGGTTCTTGGGGGCGTCCTTGGGGCCTCTTGGAGGTCTCGTGGGGCCTCTTGGGGCCTCCTGGGGCCCCTGAATGTTTGGTCGCCCTCTGGGCCCACTCTTGGGACCTTCTCGGGGCCCTGTGGGCCCTCTTGGGCGCCTCTTGGGCTGTCTGGGGGCCCTCCAGGGCCGTCTTGGGGCTGTCTTGGGGGCCTCCCGGGCTGTCTTGGGGCGCTCTGGGGGGCCTCTTCGGCCGTCTTGGAGCGTCGGCAAAGTGAAAAGGCGAGAAAGCAAAAAGCATAGAAAAACACAATGGAGAATCTACGGTTTTGACCTGTCGGGGCCCACTTCGGAGGCTCCTTTGAGGCTCCTGGGGCGTCTTGGGGGCTTCTTAGGCTGTCTTGGGGCCATTTTGGGCGTCTTCGGGGCCTCTTGGGGTCTCTTGGCCATCGTCAAAGCCCGCGTGGCCTGTCTTGGGCGTCTCCGGGAACTCTCCCAGGGGCCCGGCGCGCGCATTGGGAGTCTAGGCAGCTGGCCGAGGGCCTCTCCGGGAACGCCCTCGAAGGCCGGGAACACTCATGGGGGGTCGGGGCACCGGGCCGGGGGCCCCCATCCCTGTAGCCCTGTATATATATATATATATATATATATATATATATAGATGTGTGTGTGTATGTATATACAGAGAGAGAGAGAGAGAGAGTGAAAGAGAGAGAGAGAGAGAGAGAGCGAGAGGGAGAGTGAAAGAGAGAGAGAGAGAGAAAGAGTGAGAGAGATAACTATATATAGAAAGAGAGAGAGAGAGATAGAGAGAGAGAGAGATAGAGAGAGAGAGAGAGAGAGAGAGAAAGAGAGACAAGAGAGAAAGAGAGAGAGAGAGAGAGAAAGAGAGAAAGAGAGAGAGAGAGAGAGAGAGAAAGAGACAGAAAGAGAGAGAGAGAGAGAGAGAGAAAGAGTGAGAGAGAGAGAGAGAGAGAGAGAAAAAAAGAGAAACACATCAAACAATACATCAAGAAAGGAGGGATATATATATATA